TCGGTCCACTATAGTTGATCAGTGGGTCACGTGTGGTGAGGTAAAGTGTGGGTACACCCACCACTTCCAATATGTCTGGTCAGCATGGAAGAGTAGATCAAATACCATCTGGATGTAGATCAAATGGGGCGCCGTGGTGGTGATATGTTATCTCCCTCGTCTGATATGGAGGAGGGCGTGGGTTCGATCCTGACCCTGATACCTGTACATTTGGAGTTTGTATTTACTCCCTTTGGTTGTGTGGATTTTTCTCCGGATCCTCCGGTTTTTCCCCTCCACATTTGAAATGAACATGCATTCAGAGTTGCTATACATTTCCACACACCCCACTGAAGGATCGTGGTGGTGGGCTTTGTTCCATTGACCCTCAGAGCTATGTTGCCTGGAATCTTGTTCTCCTGGTAGGGTCTCCCTTGGGAAACAGGTCTGGGGGGAGGTTTTAGAGAAATAACAATCCAAAAAAAGGCCCCGCATGAAAGGTAAAAAAATACCAAAATTAGAGAACTTCGCCCAGACGAGGGATACCGGGACACACACCTGGAGCCAGGCCTGGTGGTGGTGTTCGACCTGCAAGCGCCTGGTGGCTGGGTGACCCATGTAATCCGGTCAGGCCCAGCCCGAAATGGCTATGTGGCACCGTCCTGTGGGCCCACCATCCGCCGGATTAAGGGTGAAGGGCGGGTGCATTGCCAGTCTGGCAGGGAGAGGGATGGTGTCAAATAGACTGGACCTTGGCGATGGACACTCGCTATTGGGATGTGGAATGTCACGTCACTGGGGGGGAAGGAGCCAGAGCTGGTGGAGGAGGTGGAAAGGTAGCGACTAGATAGTCGGTCACACCTCCACACACAACATTGGCACTGGAACCAAATTTCTCTTTATTCGACGCGTGTGCGGCGATGGCGCAGCCAATGATCAAGGGTCGAATTCGATCTGTGTGTGATTGGCATCGCGCCGCTGAAGGTATGCCTTCAGGGAAGTCGTGTACTGTATACACAACTGCGCACAATTCTGTGAGTCACTTATAACTGCTTTGCCGTTACTTATTGCCAATTATGAACTCAGACTATTGTCATATCTTATAGAGTCCCTGGTACATAATAATATGCTACACAGTGGCAGTAGGGGTTGCAAAATGCCGATTTATTACTAATAAACCCCAATGATCCGATCGAAATTAGGGATTTCGATCAGAGCATTGGGGGGGCACGTGCCACCCCACCCTCCCCACTGGCTCTGCCAGTGCTCAGAAGCCACCGGCTGGGTGCTGTTCAGGTGGAGTTTGTCCCAGTGGATGAGAGGATCGCTTCAATGAGACTTCGGGTCTTGGAAAGGAAAACTCCAAGCTTTTGCACAAAACAACAGTTTAAAGTATTCGGCCTTCTCGGAGACGGTGGCTGCAGTGCTCGACAGAGTGTCACCTACCGTCTCCATCGTCTTACTGGGTGAATTCAATGCTCACGCGGGAAATTATGAAAATACCTGGAGAGGAGTGATTGGGCGGAATGGCCCCCCTGATCTGAACCCGAAGGGTGAGATGTTATTGGAATTCTGCGCGAGCCACAGAATGCCAATAACAAACACCATGTTCGAACACAAGGATGCTCATAAGTGTACTGGGTACCAGAGGACCTTGGGCCGAATGTCAATGATTGACTTTATAGTCGTATCATTGGACCTAAGGCCATATGTTTTGGACAGAGAGGGGCAGAGCTGTCAACTCACCACTTGGTAGTAAGTTGGATTTGACCCTTGGGGCACCGACCAGATAGATGTGAAAGGCCCAAACAAATAGTACGGGTTTTCTGGGTACTTATGGCGGAAGACCCAGTGCAGAACAATTTCAACTTTCACCTCCGGGAAAACTTCTCCTGAACTCCCGGGGGGGTCGTGGACATTAATTCCAAGTGGACGATGTTCAGGACCTCGATTTGGGATGCAGCTGCGGAAAGCTGTGGCCTAAAGGCAGTTGGTGCCTGTCATGGCGGCAACCCTAGGACACCAGTGGTGAGGGAAGCTGTCAAGTTTGAGGCTTTCCGAGCTTTGCTTGGAAAAAGGTCTCCGACTCGATTGAGAGGTACCGGCTTGCCAAGCGGGCGGCTGCAGCAGTCACAGAAGTGAAAGCCCGGGCGTGACAAGAGTTTGTAGAGGCCATGGAAAGGGACTCCAGGGCAGCCTAAGGATATTCTGGCAAACCATCCGACGCCTTAGGAGAGGGGTCGACGGGACGTGGCCCAGGCTGTATTCAGGAAGGGTGGCATAAAATTGACCTCAACTTAGGAGATAGTTGAGTGGTGGACAGAACACTTCAAGGAGCTCCTCAAAAATCTAGAGATGTTTAGTAGAGGCTCCTTGGCCAGCATGTGGTGACTTGGGTCTTGTTGTTTGGATGTTGATACTTGCGTTCATTGGTAATGTTCTGCTGGAAACGGTTACTGGTCTGAGAATGGTTACCAGTTAATTGGTGATTAACAAGACAATCAAACCCGGAGTGTGGGCTGTGACAGCCTCTTAATCCCCATTTCTCTGTTGCCATTTTGCTTGACCTTAACCTCCAATTAAAAATATCCTTTGTTTAGACTTAAACTGTTGGGTAAACTGCTGTTAGCGAGCACCTATGGCACAGGAGGGGGTGGGCCAACACCACACCCGACCACCTTTGTTTCCCCAGTGGCAATGTTTACACACTGCACCAGGTGCTCATTTCAGGCTGAGTCGACCTGGGGGAGGCCCGGAACCAGTTCAGATAATCGTCACTGTTGTTGATGGCTGTGAGCAGGAATCGAAACTTGGGTCATGGCCTGGTTCATAGCGCAGCGCGAACCGCTGCCCCACCGCTTCCCACTAACCGGGCATTCCACATACACGTCAACCTCCACACGTATGTCCACAGACGAGTCGGTGCTCATGGATCTCAAGGCTCTGCTCATGGAGGCCAAGCAGAAGGTGCCGCCTGTGCTGCAGCTGCTGCAGACGGGCGACGAGTCGATGCTGGACATTGGAGGTGAGCGTCATAGGGATAAACGAAAGAATAGGGGGGCACCGCGGTGGCAAGATGTTATCTCCTACGTCTGGTATGAAGGAGGTCGTGGTTTGATCACAACCCTAACGATACTTGTATATTTAGAGTTTACGTCTTCTCTTTCTCCCCGTGGTTGCGTGGATTTTTCTCCGGGTCTTCCGGTTTTTCCCTGCACATTTAGAATGGACGTGTTTAGATTACCTGGCTGCTACTATAATTTTCCACATGATAAGCCACTTCAATGAGCAATAATTTGTGCCCAGATCGCTAATTCAAAAAAGTGCTAATAACTCAGTGCGCTTTAACTGGTAAATAAAATAGTTTTAGTTTTACAAAGCTTTACCCTTTCTGGCAATAATACAGGAGGTTTTAACATGTTCAAACACCAAATCGACACCTTTTACATCAAGTCTGCATTAACCACACATGCTTGTGGTAAACCATGCAAACAAATATGCTTTATTTGTCTTTTAAACTCATTGGCCAAGACCAGTGTTTGACCAGAGAACCCCAAAAGGCAAACAGCACAAAGGCAATGCAAAAAATGAATACTCATAATAAAGGTTTTTGGGTTAGATTGCGTTATTTATTAATGTGTCGCAACCCTCCACCACCCGACACGACCAATCAGTAAAAAATGTGTCACGTTGACAAAAGACAAATAGTGCACTACTTTAGCCCACTGGTGTGTTGAGTGAATCCACAACATTTCCAATTTTTGAGTACAACGTTTCGCTGGTAATTACATCCAGCATCATCTGTGTTTGTGCGGTGTTTGTGTGCGGTGTGGTGTGTGTGTGCCCGTGTGTGTGTGTGCGTGTCCGTGTGTGTGTGTGCGTGTCCGTGTGTGTGTGCGTGTCCGTGTGTGTGTGCGTGCCCGTGTGTGTGTGCGCGTGCCCGTGTGTGCGCGTGCCCGTGTGTGCGCGTGCCCGTGTGTGTGCGCGCGAGCCCGTGTGTGTGCGCGCGAGCCCGTGTGTGTGCGCGCGCGTGCCCGTGTGTGTGCGCGTGCCCGTGCGTGTGTGGGCGTGCTCGTGTGTATCCTCGTGTGCGTGCATCCATATGTGAGCAGGCGAGCGTGGCTGCACATTCTGTGGCGGTTTGGGTCACCGTATCACGGAGTGCCCGAAACTGGAGGCCCTGCAGACTAAGCAAGTCAGCAACATTGGCCGCAAGGATTACCTTGCGCATGGCTCCACTGACTACTGAGTGGCCCACTGGCTTCCACTGCCATTGGGCGGATGGGTGGAGGGAAGGGTGAAGGAGGACAGTGGATGGGTTTCTCTCGGTGTTGTCATTGTGGGAATTTCGGCCCTGGGGAGGTCTGAGTGCTTACGGAGGAGGTGGAGTAAAGGACACTTCAAGGAACATTTCAACCCAGATTTAAAGTGACTGCTGTTTTGTAAAGATGCACAAATGCTTTGTGTCCCAGAGTTGTATGTTTAATGTTTAAAGATCTGTGAAATATAAGAATGGGTAGTAATGGCTACGTTGCTTCCAGGCACGACTGCTATAGTGTCCTCTACTAAAGGCACAGCTTCTGTCGATTCTGCTCACATCGACAGCCTCAACACAAACGCATAGCCTCCAAATAATAGCCTCAACACTGACCCACGGACCCAACACAGATGCACAGCTTCAATACTTACAACCTGTACATTGACCACAGTATCAACACTGACCCACAGTCTCAACACAGACGGATAGCCACAATACTAACCCGAAACCTCGGTTCAGAACAACAGCCGCAATTCAGATGCACAGCCTCAATATAGACAGTCTCAACACAGACCCAGAGCCTCAACAGATATATAGCCTCAACATAGACCCCTCAGCCTGAACACGGACATCCACATACATCCGTTTTACAATAAGAAACAATAAAAAATTATTTTTAAATAAACGTTGTGAGTATATCTATTTGTCTTGTTTCATAGAAATTTGGGGGGGGGTGAGGGTGGGTGGGGAGGTGTGAGATCTGAAGGCGTTCAGATTCTGGGGTCTGGAGAGGTCTGACGTCCTGGGGGGTCTGGGGTGGGTCCACAGGAGGGTTCCGGGTGGTGAAAATGGCTGAAGAATTACACTGCATACACAACACACGTTACAGTAACACCTTACTGATAAAATATTTTTCTCGAAATATCTCCAGAACCCTACATTCTACATACTCGAGTCATGTACCATTCTACTCGTCTGCTATAGGGAACATTTTATATACTGTACCATGTTGCCTTTTGAGGCATCTGACTTGCAAACCTTGAAAGTCTCAATTCCATTGCAGGGAGTCTCAAAACCATACTCAGGAGTCCTAATTCCAAATCAGGAGTAAATTCCACATCCTGGATTCCGAATTCCTATGCCATGGAATTGAGACTTGACCGTCACGAACATGTCTTTGTTGCCGGACCGGAATATGCTGCAGGGTCCCGCAGTGATTCGTCCGCTATATGAGTTGGTCCTGTGGGCGGCACAGGAGCATGTGTGGTGCCACGACTGCGGAGCAACTTCGCAAGCGCCGCGATTCCCTCCCGGCCCCCGCACTAAACACACACCCGCATGCAGCGCACCCACGTAGTGTCCTGGCGGGGGATTGCCTGGCACATCGGGTCTTGATCTGAAGGGCCCGAAGAGGAAGAATCCCACGGTTTCCGGATGCCAGGAGATTGGCCGACCCTCGCAGGACGGGTTACATTGCGATGCCCCTAAAATTGGCTTAAAATTGTATTGGCACAGATAAGGTTCCCTGGGCCAACCGCAATGAGTTACAACATTGGGGGGAGGACGGAGGGCGGAATACTAACCAAGCAAAAGCGCAAGGGCCCTTCCAGACAATGGGCAACGAGGGACAATGGGTGGCCGGCGCCGCCGCCGCGGCACTGGAGGAAGGACGCAGTAACAGGCAGTAACCACAGGTAGACGCACGATTGGTCGTGCGGGACAAACGCCATCCTGGCCCTTTGAAGTGAGGGGATTAGGCCACGGTAGAAAGGAGGAAACAAGCGCGAGGGTGCAGGTAAGTGCACGATTGGCTGCGCGGTATGACATCACCCTGGGCCTTTGAAGTTAAGAGAATAAAAAGGGGGGCCCCGGGTGATTTTCGGTCTCTTGGCTTCGACCTCCGGGTGGTGAAGACCCTCTCCCTGCCATCCTGCCTCTTCGAGCCGCTCACAGCATCCGTGTGATGCCAGCATGTGCTGCTGCGAGACAGTGACAGGTCAAGTCGTCCCTCATCCTCCCTCCGACTCTCAGTGTCCGTGGGACGCCGCGAGTCCAGCTTCGAGGTACGTGGTAGGACGTCTGTGTGACTGCGTTCATAGGCAGAGTTAGGCTAAACTCTCCTCACGAAATATTCCACCTCCAGGTAGTGTGTATTTGCGCTGTTAATAAACTTTAGTTCAGAGTGTCGGTGCAGTGTGATTTCTGTGTGTGTGGGTAGAACCTCGGCGTGGTGTCTGCGATTTGTGTGGTGCGACTGCGCGGGGAGACGGTGTGTGCGAAAGAGCGAGCGCGGGGCTGCAGCGTCGGCGCGGTGTTAGTAACTTGAGCGTGTGTGAGGTGCGCGTGTATTAAAACATACACGGCCGTCGACGCTTGCGCGTGTTTACGCGTGTGAAAAACGCGCGCCTGCAGTGCCGCGTGAGTAATTAGGGCGGGGGGCAGGGTGCGATAAACCCGCTCGCCGGCGTTTACACAGCGGCAAGAACATTAACGGCGAGGCGTGTGCGTGTATTCATACAGCCCTTTAGCATTAGCCTTTGTGTGCTAGCAGATTAGGGCTTAACCACCCGGAGGGGCACGCGCATATTAATACTGCCGTCGGCCCGTTTTCTTTAGCGCTAACCTTTGCGCGAAATACGCACATGCAGGGGCACGCGCGTGCAAGCTACCGCGTTCGCTTGTGTAGTGGTATACGTGGGCGTGTGCGGAATAACCCCGGGCGGTGGTGAGCCAGCCAATCAGCCATGTCCCTTAGAGAGGGCGCTGGCGCGGGGGGGCCAATCACTTGATCGGCGGGGGCCTGGCGAGAGGCAGCCGACAAGGAGGAGGGGGGAGTGGAGGAGGTGGACGTCGCACCCCGCCCGCTCACGGGGAGCGGGGAGGCGGGCGTCGGCCCCTACACATGTACGAGTAACTCAATTTCTCCGAACGGCTGCTGTGGCTCGTCTGACACCCTAGACAGCGGCGGAACAGGACATGGATATGAGGTGTTTGTGTAATGATGAAGGTAGGGTTTGAGACGCGACGGGTGAACAAACCAATGGCGATGTCCCAACTGCACGTGTTTTTTATCGCCACTGCGTGCTTCGAACAGTCGATCGAGCGTTACCTGCAAGGACACAGGTCGGTCGGGCACACCTGTGGAGGATTTACCCAGTGGCTTTCTATGGGCGGATTTGGCTCTCAGCCATATAAAAGAAAAAAGGGGAAAATCCCGTGGAGGCATGTGGAGCCAGCCTATATGTTGCCAAAACCCCAGGGGTATGGAGATTCCAGTAGGTCCACACCTCACCTCCAGCGTGGCAAAGCATAGACGTTATCGTTCTGTTTGTTTTTTTCAGTAAAATCACGTAGGTAGAAAAATAATAGATCATGACGTTTCGATCGCAACACAAGCAATCATCATCAGGTGGGACAACCAAAGCAAGAAAAAACTGAAGTAGGCGAGAGTTTCTGCCATGGCATGAGGTTATATCGGCCTTGGCAGTAGGGGGGGAGAGAGGACGTGAGTGGAGAGAGAGGGCAGGGCAGAAAGTGGACCCCGTGGCAGCACTTGGAGAGATCTGAGAGATCGGCTGCAGGGGGGAGAGGTTAGTGGGGGGGGGGGGGAGGAGACAGGGCAGAAAGTGGACCCTGCGGCAGCACCTGGGTCACTGGAGTACTGGAGTAGAGATTGGAGAGAGATGCAACACACAGGAAACACATTTTGGACACAAGAGATGCTATCCTCGGCGTCTGCTTTACGCAAGGAATTGAACCAGTGATAAAGAAGACACACGATACGCATATCGGGATAATCAAGAAGGGTTGCCACTCCAAGGTGGTGCATTAAAAATCAATTAATAAAGGAAAATACTGCTGTCATTGAGTTGCATAATAACCAATCGTCCTACTGTTAACAACGTGATACGAATTGACTTGAAGGTCTATGAATGGATGTGGTACTGTGTGGGCAATGTTTAAACACGAATTTACATATGATAAGGTTAAGGTTTTGCTAGAATAGTTGCATGTATTAATCTCTCTCAACAACCAATCGATTGCGTTACGTGTCGGGAATTAACCACAGGTGCCGTTATCAAAGTGAAACAACGCAATCGTGATGGTATCATGTTAACGCTGTGTTGAAATTCCAAGATAGAGAGTTTCATATTCAAAAATTAAATTTAGCTAGGAAATAAAATGTATTAAAGCAAAAGGTTTGTGTGTGATGAAATTCTGCATAAGATTGTTCTGCGTATGAGATCTGAACCTTGAGGGGACCTATCACCACACATAATCCATAACACACATAATTCATAATGTTCAATCGAGAGTAATCGTATCCTTATCGATAATACGGAATTAAATAGCAGAGTCGAATCGACTCTCTCTCATTCATGCTCACAACACCTACAGAACTGCATACGATCAATTGCGTTATTCCAATTCATAACACAATCCTCGTCACCGAGGCTCGACCTGCATTATCATAACCACGCCCACTCGCATAAATTAATACCATTATCTCTCGAATCAGTATAATTTATGCGCATAATCACACCAATTAACATAATTTCGGATAAATTATGCTAATTTCAAATTTCATTGCATTTTTATTATTTTCATCAATTTTCATAACACCTATATATACAACATATTGGGGGCGTCGTCCGGAATCTCTCGCAGACAGTTTATGCTTGAATTAAGGAACAAATCACTGTTGTATCAACCAAGGTTTTATGATCTAACGTTGCCCTGTGACTGTAACGGGTGTAAAACAAACTAAAAAAACGCACTCTGAAGGGAAATTCCAGAGCAAGCCGTATAACAAAGACAGTTGAAGTAAGATGATTTGCTCGAGTCAAACTGACCACATCCTGTGATACAAGTGTTTTTATACGTGCTCTGAAGGGAATACCAGAGTCACACGAGTCGAACTGATGCATTCTGGATACAACTGTTTTGATATACACTCTGAAGTGAATTTCCAGAGATGCTCGTATTAAGAGGAATTTTTGAGTGGATTGCGGGATATTTGGAACTTGCACCAAAACGGTCAGGCCGATCTGCTACAGAGCAAACAAATCAGGGAGACACATGGAAGGGGAGCTGTATTGATGACATTACACCAATTAACATAATTTCGGATAAATTATGCAAATTTTAAATTTCATTTAAATTTTATTATTTTCATCAATTTTCATAACACCCCGCGACCAAATCGTACATGTTGGCAGACATACGTGGCCAGTGATTTATGCGTTGTAGAGTTAACTGTTTTTCAGCACCCCAGATGCAGTCGTTTATTTGTGTGCACCTCTCGCGTTAGTCTTCCCCGCAAGGATGTGGGCACCACCAGCACGAACCGAGACCCTGACAGGAAGGCTGGTGGCGGCAGGCTGCTTGTAGCATAGCCCTTCACTCTGTCAGTATGGCCTTAAAGATAGCGAGGGTTTCGTCGTTGAGGGTAGTGCCTTCAACGCCTCCTCCGTCCAATCTAAAGCTTGGTAGGCAGCCTCAAACCGCCTGGTGAAGGCTCCCCAGTTGCCTCCCGTTGCCACAAATTTCTTGACCAGCCCTAGCCGGCAAGGCCTGTCGGGTGCTCTCACACGTGCCACTGGAGCTGACTCTGGCGATGGTGCCCCAGCCACTGCTCCGGGCGTCCCTGACTCCCTGGCTTCCACAACAGTCGGCCGGGTGGCTCCGGCCGTCTGTTCTCCAGCCGCCACCTCTGTCACTCTCAGTCTCTCCTCCCTCCCGGCGAGCTGCAGCACCAGCTGGGAGACCCCGTCCATGAGGCGGTCGATCCGCCTCTCCAACCGCTCCCATCCTTGAGTCCCGGGCGACGCTCAGTTGAGTATTGCGCCTGATCCTCCTCGGTTGTCACCAGCGCTGCCGCAGCCTCTCTTGCTTTCCCGAGGTTGATCTCCGGGTCCTCGTCGCCCGGGATGTTCTGGAATGAAGACCTCTTCATCGTCGGACATCATCAGTGGGTCCTTCCGTTGGTTTGGGCGCAATATTATTTTGTAACCCCACTCTTCTGACACCAGTTATAGTGACGCCGACACATGTTGCGACTTTTTATGAGCCTTTATTAAGATACAGCACTAACGATGCCCAGAGCTGGTTCTTGAGGCTTTAGCTCTATCTCCTCGAATATCCACTCTACTTGTGCTGTCTCCGTTTATAACTCCCAAGCCCCCTCTCTGGTAACTTATATCACTTGACTCCCATTGGGCCAATCCTAACCCTTCCCCACCAGCGGTCCTCAACCGTCCTACTACAGTTCACCCATGCTTCACGCCTTTTTACCTTTCAAATCTTCCCTCCAATTTCTTTCAATCTGGCCTCCCTACCAATCACTGTGGAGGCCTCTCTGCACCAATTGGAGGCCTTGGCCTACTTGCTGACTGTCTAATTGTACACTTGTGTCAGGTACGTGGTCTGTTATTTCCGTCATTACATGTGCATGACAGGTTAGAGGTGGCTATATGTGCACTATAGGTTCTCCACAAATCACGTGATGCCCTGTTGTAGACAAATACATTATATTGCATTGCAAGGAACAAAACACCGAGCAGAACAATAGGGTTGGTGTTAGGGTTAGAGGGTTAGTGGTTAGGGTTAGGGGATGGGGTTATGGGTTACGGGTTAGGATTTGGGTTAGGGATTGAGGTTAGAGTTAGGGTTCGGGTTAGGGGTATGGGTTAGGGGTTACGGTTAGTGTTAAGGTTGTTAGGGTTAGGAGTTGAGGTTCGGGGTTAGGGTTAGGAGTTGGGGTTAGGGTTAGTGGTTAGGGGTACAGGTTAGGTATAGGGGTTAGGGTTTAGGGTTAAGGTTATGGTTCTTAGGGTAGTTAGGGGTTAAAGTTAGGTGGTTATGGGTTGGGGTTAACGTTAGGGATTGGCGTTAGGGGTTATGGTTAGGGGTTTTGGGTAAGGGTTAGGTTATAGGGTTAGCGGTTAGGGAATAGGGTTTGGGGTTAGGGTCAGTTTAGGGGTTAGGGGTTAGGGTCGGGAAAGGGGTTAGGGTTTGGGTTAGGGGTTAGGGTTGGGGTCGGCGTCAGGATTAGGGTCGGAGTCAGGGTTAGGGGTTAGGGGTTAGGGTTTGGGTTGGGGTTGGGGTTAGGGTTAGGGTCGGCATCGGGGTTAGGGTTAGAGGTTATGGGTTAGGAATTGGGTTTCGGTTAGGGATTGGGGTTAGGGTCAGGGGTTAGGATTTGGGTTTGGGATTGGGGTTAGGGTTAGGGTTTGGGTTAGGGGTAAGGATTGGGGTTAGGGTAGGGGTTAGGGGTTAGGGCTGGTGTCGGGGTTAGGAGTTAGGGGCTAGGATTTGGGTTTGGGTTAGGGTTTGAGGTTAGGGTTTGGGTTAGAGTTTAGGGTTAGGGTAGGGGTTAGGGGTTAGGGGTTAGGTTTTAGGGTTAGGGTAAGGGTTCGATGTTAAGTTTTAGGGTTAGGGGTTAGGTTTATAGGTTAGTGTTTGGGTTAGGGGTTAAAGTTAGGGGTTATGTTTTAGGGTTAGGGGTAAGGGTTAGGGTTTAGGATTAGGGGTTAGGTTTATGGTTTGGGTTAAAGTTAGGGGTTAGGGTTTGGGTTAGGGATTAGTGTTTGGGTTAGGGTTTAGTATTAGGGGTGAGGGTTTGGGTTAGCGTTTGGGTTAGGGTTAGAGTAGGGGTTAGCATTTGGGTTAGGGGCTAGGGTTATGTTAGGGTAGGGATTAGGGTTATGGGTTAGGGTAGGGATTAGGGTTAGGAGTTAGGGTTTGGGTTAGGGGTGGGGTTGGTGTCGGGGTCGTGGTCGGGGTTGGGGGTTATGGTTTTCAGTTTAGGGTTAGCAGTTAGGGTTTGGGTTTAGGGTTTGGTTTATGGTTAGGGGTTGGGGTTAGGGGTTAGAGTTAGGAATTAGGACTTGGATTATGAGTTAGGGTTAGGGGTTATGGGTTAGGGGTTCGGGTTAGGGTAGGGGTTATGGTAGGGTTTAGGGTCGGGGTTTGGGTTAGGGATTGGCTTAGGGTCAGCGTCGGGGTTGGGGATAGGGGTTAGGGTATGGGGTTAAGATTTGGGTTAGTGGTTAGGGTTAGGGGATGGGGTTATGGGTTAGGGGTTAGGGTTAGGATTTGGGTTAGGGTAGTAGTTAGGGTTAGGGCTAGGGTCGGCGTTGGGGTTAGGATTTAGGGTTAGGGGTTAGGATTTGGGTTAGGGATTGGGGTTAGAGGTTAGGGGTTAGGTTAGGGTTAGTGGTTAGGGGTTGGGGTTATGGTTTAGGAGTAAGGGTTAGGCAGGCCCGACCACCGTTGCAGTCCATCGAGGTGTCCCGTGTTAACGAGCTCGTTGCTCTCGACATTCTCTGACTATTTCCCATCACTTTGAGGGGAAACTAATTTTTGCTCATCGGGGTGGAGTACCTGTCCCGGTGGCCAGTGGCATGGCCTTTGGCACATCAGTCGGCTGCGTCCGTTCATGGACGCATTCCTACACGGGTATGTTTTGGATAAGGGGGCCCTGGAACGTCTCCTTACGGACCAAGGTCGAATTTTTTCTTCTAAATTATTAAAGGTGTGCGACTTGCTGGGCACTAACAAGATCCGGCCGTCGCCCAACCATCCCCAGACTGACGGGATGGTAGAGCACTTGCACAGGACTCTCACGTCCATGCTGTGCCAACAGGTCAACGAGGCGCAGTCCGATTGGGATTTAGACGTTCCGGGTGTTCTCGCTGTATATAGAATTGCCCCTCATGCCTCAGCCGGGTTCTCCCCCTTTGTCCTCATGTACGAGAGGGAATGCGACCCCCCCCCCCCCCCCCCCCGTCATAGGGAGGGACGATGGTATGAGTCAATCCCCACCAAGCCAGGATTTGAACCCGCAAGTTTCTAATTGCTGTGAGCCACTCGCTTAACCGCTGAGCCACCCGTTACATCGCAGGATCGTGAGGAGGTGGCAACAGCTTGGAGATGACCTTAATCCAGCAGTGACTTGACCCTGACTGCTGCTTATGACGATGTCACGTGTTTGCGCGGTTGCCGGATTGGAAGTATCTCTCGCAGATGAGGAAGACGTCTGGTGCCACCTGCTGGTGGCTGTACCACGCTCCATCTCCCAACAGCGCGTTACCTCTCTCCTTGCCACCAACGCGCTCTCGCTGCTTCCACCACCAAAGGCAAAGATGCCATGGCTATTGGGGCAGGTGCTGTTAACAAGGAGGATGTGTGTCCCCCCAATATATATTATAATTACGGCCTTGTCTGACACATGGGGTGAATGCAAGTTAATGTTTGTTGTTCTGAAAGTTGCTTTACTGTTCGCAAACTGGTTTCGACTGGTTCCTACCGAAATGTCTTACTGTGATAATGACTTTGATGTCTCCAATGTTAAGGCAGGCTGGCGCCATGAAGGGGTCACAAGAGTTGGGGAGTTGTTGGCATGATGACCTCGTCTATTTAAGCAGCGGTTCAGATAGCAATAGACAGCATTGCCGGAGAAATCAGCGCGGTCGACACCTCACAGCTTAACAGGGTTGAAAGCATAATTCTGTTTTGTTCTAACTTTTACCGTAATAAGATAATATAGATGCTCACACACGTAAAGTTGTTGTTCTGTTGGAAACGAGCACGGTTATGTACGTCGGTGTTAACGACATAAATCGATGTAGATATTCACACTGAGAGAATGGATGTAATTGGTAACCCTCCACCACCTGACACGGCCAAACAGTAAAACATGTGTCACGTTTACAAAAGACAAATATTGCCCCATGATGCTGGATGTAATTACCAGCGAAACATCGTACTCAAAATTGTAAATGATGTTGATTCACTTTTCAACACACCGGTGGGATAAAGTAGTGAACTATTTGTCTTTTGTAAACGTGGCACATTTTTTAGTGTTTGGCCGTGTCGGGTGGTGGAGGGTTACGACACATTTATAAATAACTCGATCTAACCCAAAAACCTTTATTATGAACAAGAATACAATCTGAAAATTCCAGTAATAGCCCATTTTGAGAAACTGCTGGCATTGGCGAAATCCCTCCAAACCATCCTTCCAGCTGAGGATGGCGACGTCTCGCCTCTTCAGGTCGCTAGGTGCATCCAAGCCCAGCAAATTCTGCAGTGGGACAGGGCGCTGGTTAGGTGTGCCATGTCCCGTATGGAGCCGGAGCCGTCAGATTGAGCGGAGCCCCTGTCGGCATGCGCGTCGACCCGGGGTGGTGACGGCCGGGGTGACGGGGACGCACGACGGACGGACGAGCAGCGGCGGCCAAGATCGTCGTCTCGTTCCCGGGGCGGCCGTGTTACCTGCTACAATTGCGGCCTGCCAGGGCACGTGTCATTGGGCTGCCGCGTATCACGACGGCGCCACCCGGCATCACCGCCATCCTACGCTCCCATGCACCCTAAGGCGAGTCGCGACACACTCCACACCCGACCCCTGGCCTCACCTCATCCATCTAGGCGGTTCGGTTCGCGTCCCGGTCGCACGGGGGTGAGGGGGAGCCCTACGCGTAATTGTAGCGTTCGTCAGTTCTGACCGGATCAGTGGTCGGAGCTGGCCCATCGAGTGGTGGTCGCAGCCGCGGGTTCATCTGCCGTGCTGGGGTTTATCAAGGGTGTGGAAATAAGGATGCTGGTTGACACGGGTGCATCGGCAACTATCATTTCGGAATTGATTTACAATATTTTGCCCTCTAAATGTCGGGTTCTAGACCCTGTTGATGCACCGTGTTTCGCCGCCAATGAATGGCGACTCATTGGGCATTATCGGTTGGATAACGGTCGAGGTGCGCATCGCTGACGTTAAATTGTCTGGACACATCCTGGTCTCCACATCCTTGGCTGTTCCATGTTTGCTTGGAACCGATTTCCTTGATAGGATGCCCGTGAAAATCTGCATTGATCGTGGCTGTTGGGAATTACCTTCCGGCCATTGTATAGCATTTTTACCTTCTCCCACTCATTTGTGTGCGGCCAACGCTACGGTGCAGGCGCTTGTGCGGCGAACGGTGAGCATCCCTCCCGGCGCGCAGATGTTGGTTCCCTTCCGCTTGCGGAAGCCGCTCGATTTAGGGGCTACGGAGAACGGTATTGTCTTGGGGCCATCCAACAAGGTCAGTCGCGGGCTGACGTTGGTGGCAGCCCAAATGTTGGTATCCAACGACCAGGAACCCTTTATTCAGGTTCTTAATGCTGGGTGGGATACCACGGTCATCCAGGAGGGTACGGTGTTGGCTCATGCGTCGCCGGCACGTCCGGATGGGGGCATCGTCGGAAATGTGGGTGCTGAGCCTCACGCACTACAATCCTGTGATGAAGATGACAGTTGGATTGACAAATTGTGCGCTGAATGTGATACCTTGTCCGCGGATCAGATGGGGAAGTTGCAGATGCTCTTGAGTGAATTTTCGGATATTTTCAGCAAAGGTAAATTCGATATTGGGTGCACGTCGCTTCTGAGTCACCACATTGATACGGGCGACGCGGCCTCTATCTGACAGAATCCCTACCGGCTGAGCCCGGCAGAGAAGGAACATGTTCGACTGGCGGTTGATGAGATGTTGGCCGCAGACATCATCTCACCATCCACCAGTCCCTGGGGAGCTCCGATTGTGCTTGTGAAAAAGCACGACGGTAGCTTAAGATTTTGCGTCGACTTTAGGAAGCTTAATAAGGTCTCTGTTGCGGATGCGTATCCCAAATCGCATGGACGATTCACTGGATTGGTTGGCGGGGGCACGCTTCTTCCCCACCCTTGATCTCTAATCTGGGTTCTGGCAGTTGCTGCTTGACGATGTCTTGAGACCTAAGACGGCCTTTTGCAAGCTCCAGGGATTGTTCTAATTTAACCGGCTTCCCATGGGGCTCCATTCCACGCCGGCCACATTCCAACGGTGATGGCATTGGTCCTGGCGGGTCTCCAATGGGACTCGTATCTAATATACCTCGCCGATGTGATCGTCTTCAGCCACACTTTTTATGACCATTTGAGTCGTTTGCTTGCTTTCTCAAATGCGTGCGGCTAACCTTAAATTCAAGCCTCAGAAATGTCATCTTCTCTGGAAGTCGGTCCGATATCTTGGCCGCATTGTTGACGAAGCGGGTATTGCGACCAACCCGGAAAAACTGCGTGTGTTCGTACCTGGCCCACCCCCACCTCAGTGACTGAGGTGCACAGTTTTATCGGCTTTGCATCTTACTATTGCCGCTTTGTCGCCGGGTTCGCGTCAATTGCAAAACCTCTCCATGCGTTAACGGCTAAGGGTCATACGTTTCATTGGGGAGAGGAGGAGGCTGCATTTAATGCCATCCGCGAGGGGTTGGTGAACACCTCTCCCCTGCGCTATCCGGATTTTGCATTGCCGTTCGTCCTCAATACGGACGCTAGCAATACCGGCATTGGTGCCATTTTGTCGCAGGTTGTTGACGGGGTGGAGAGGGTTGTTGCGTACAGCAGTAGAGTGCTGTGTCAAGCCGAACAGGATTACTGCGTTAGGCGCCGTGAATTGCTAGCAATTGTGGTTTTCGTGCAGCAGTATCGGCCCTACTTGTATGGTAGACGATTTGAGGTGTGCTCCGATCATGCAGCGCTCCAATATGCGCTGCGTGTGGATCAGCTGTCAGGCCAGTTATCACGCTGGCTGGAGATCCTGCAGGATTTCTCATTCCATGTTACGTACCGCAAGGGTTATCGTCATGCGAACACCGATGCCCTACCGCGGTTGCCAGCGACCGGAGGTTGTGAATGTTTTTCGGGTTCCGGGTGATGTAAACCAACTGATATGACCTCGCCCCCTCCTCTCGCCGCATCTGCCGATGCACGGACAGGTAGCACGGGTGCCAGTCCGGACGCACGGGATGCAGTCATCGGATTACGTGGAATGGGGACGCCTTCAGGTGAAGACGCTTCGCTACTTAAATTGCGACGTCGTGTGAGAGAAGCTAACAGGGACAATGATCGATGGGGCGTTGCCTCGGTAGTCCTATGGAGCAGCTTGCTCATGTATTGGAAAGGGGGGCCTCGCCGTTACACTATAGTTGTCCCCACCGCCCTGCGAGGCGAGGTTGTTTGGGCTGTGCATGAGCGGCTCTTGCACCTGGGTGTGCAGAAAACGCTGACCACGCTGAAACGGGATTTCTATTGGCTGTCCATGTCCGCGGACGTGGACGATTTGCTCAGGGGGTGCGTGCAGTGTACCCGGGGGAAACCACCGTCGAAACCCTGCCGACTCCCCTTGCAGTCGATTCAGGTATCACGTGTCAATGAACTTGTTGCTATGGGCATACTTGGCCCATTTCCCACTACTGCTCGGGGGAACAAATACCTGCTTTTGGAGGTTGAGTATTTTTCTCGATGGCCTGTCGCTTGGCCCTAATCAATCAGCTGTGACCATTACAGAGGCATTCCTCAATGGCTATGTTATGGACAAAGGTGCTCCGGAACGCCTTTTGACCGATCACGGCAATAATTTTTCTTCTAAATTGTTGATGTCTGCGCTTTATTGGGTACAAGGAAGGTGTGCACGTCGCCATACCACCCACAGACGGATGGCATGGTCGAACGGCTACATAGGATTCTGACCTCAATGCTGAGCCACCAGGTAAGTGAGTCTCAACTCGGTTTGGATTCACATATCCCTGCAGTCCTCGCCGCTTGCAGGATGGCTCCACACGCATCCACTGGCTACTGACCGTTTTTTCTAATGTATGGGAGAGAATACGACCCCCCCCCCTTCGCCACGCCGGCGAAGTATAAATCTAGGATTTCGGACTCGGTTCGCTTCACTATTCAGAAGCTTTCTGAGGCGCGGGAAGCCTCGAGGGTTAATTCTGAGTCACGACAATTGGCCAACGAACGGCTTAAGGGTGTGCATAATTCCCTGTATGAATGGACGCCTGGGGACAAGGCCTGGTTGCACTGCCCGCAGGTGCCGGTGTGTACTTCACCTAAATTACAGCCTTAGCGGGGGCCAGTCGATGTCGTTCGGGTTGTTTGACCACAGATCAACTTCGGTCGGCGGAGTTGGTTCGTCCATCCCTCTCACCTGAAATTGTTTATCATGTCGCGCGAATTCGTTTAATCTCCACATTGCAGGGGCGAGTGTCGATTGTGTCCGATGAGTCGGGGTGTGTGCCCATTGAGGTTGGGGTCCTCAGCGGAGAGATTCTCTCCCGCCCCCAGGTGCCGCACGACTGACGTCCCCTGCACGGCCGCGCATGCCGGCATCGCAGGTCCCAAGTGCGGAGGATCCGTCGACCCGGCCTACTGCTCTCCGTGAGGAGCCGGGTTCGGCGGAACATTTGCACATTCCCCCCGGATCCTCCAGGGTGAGCGAGCCCATCACGAACTCGCTCAAAGACTCGGTATTCGTGATCTCCTTGCACACACGCTCCCACGCTATCGGTTGCTTGTCGCGTTCGCTGACTCGTGGCAGTCATTGGCTGAGCCTGGCCGCCATCAAGCTCGCAAGCGTTGTTACATGGCGAAGGTGGGAGGTGTGATGGTATTGGGGGATCCTGTGGTTTTCGCGTTTCCTTATTTTATTGTTGCTGTGTTGTTATGGGTTCATTGGTTTCCACCCTTCTCCCTGTTGGTTTGTACATTTGTGTAGTGACTGTACTTGTCACTGTGTGGTGCCGGGACTTGCGAAGTCACTGCCGGTAATGTGGTCATTGTGGACAGCCCGGTTTGCGAGCTGCAGTACCAGCACTAGCGGTGGTTGGGTGAGCGCTGGTTAGTGCGGAGGCACCACGAGCAGTGTGCGGTGCCGGCTCCCAGTGAGGGAGCGAGAGCGGGCGTCAGCCAGCCAGGGTTACTCTGGGGCATGATACTCTGGCTGACCTGTTGTCACGTGACCGGACAATACTGGAGGGGGGCCACCAATGGACGGGGGTCGAGGGGTGGTCACGTGGTCCCGAAGAGCTCTCGGGAACATTCTAGAGGGAGCTCGAGAGCCTGGAAGGTGGGCGGGGCTAGGAGTGGAGCCAGCCCTAGCCCGGGAGCATATAAAGAGAGCTCCGTGAGGAGCTCGGGGTTTTTCAAGTGTTGGTGTTCGAAGATCCACGTCGGGGAGAAGAAGCCTCTAGCCACACGGTCCGGGACCCAGCTTGTGGTCCGGACCGGGATAGCGAACCGTGTCTAATTCTGCCGCAGCGTGGTGAGTTGGGCATTCGAGACCCAAGCATAGGTTGTGTTATGTTACGTATTGTATGTGAATAAATAGTGTTGATCCCAAGATAACGTCTGTGACTCAGTTGGACCCACTACATTTGTATATAGTGTAAGTTTTGTACACGTGGGTTGGGGTATTTATTTCTGTCCTTGTTGTTGTTGAGGCACACTGTGTTTTTTTTGCTCATTGCATTTCACTTATTGTTCGTTGAGGGGAGAGTTGACAGCTGGGACGGCTGGATGCTACAAAGGGGAGGGGGGGGGGTGATGTAGTGATATCGGGGATGTCACGGTCAGCACCATACATGTCAAAAATGTTATAAATTGATTTGCATTTTAATGAGAGAATTAAGTATTTGACCCCCTCTCAATCAGAAAGATTTCTGGCTCCCAGGTGTCTTTTATACAGGTAACGAGCTGAGATTAAGAGCACACGCTTAAAGGGAGTGCTCCTAATCTCAGCTTGTTACCTATATAAAAGACACCTGTCGACAGAAGCAATCAATCAATCAGATTCCAAACTCTCCACCATGGTCAAGACCAAAGAGCTCTCCAAAGATGTCAGGGACAAGATTGTAGACCTACACAAGGCTGGAATGGGCTACAAGACCATTGCCAATCAGCTTGGTGAGAAGGTGACAATAGTTGGTGCGATTAGTCGCAAATGGAAGAAACACAAAACAACTGTCAATCTCCCTCGGCCTGGGGCTCCATGCAAGATCTCACCTCATGGAGTTGCAATGATCATGAGAACGGTGAGGAATCAGCCCAGAACTACACGGGAGGATCTTGTCAATGATCCCAAGGCAGCTGGGACCATAGTCACCAAGAAAACAATTGGTAACACACTACACGGTGAAGGACTGAAATCCTGCCGCGCCCGCAAGGTCCCCCTGCTCAAGAAAGCACGTATACATGCCCGTCTGAAATTTGCCAATGAACATCTGAATGATTCAGAGGACAACTGGGTGAAAGTGTTGTGGTCAGATGAGACCAAAATAGAGCTCTTTGGCATCAACTCAACTCGCTGTGTTTGGAGGAGGAGGAATGCTGCCTATGACCCCAAGAACACCATCTCCACCATCAAACATGGAGGTGGAAACATTATGCTTTGGGGGTGTTTTTCTGCTAAGGGGACAGGACAACTTCACCGCATCAAAGGGACGATGGACGGGGCCATGTACCGTCAAATCTTGGGTGAGAACCTCCTTCCCTCAGCCAGGGCATTGAAAATGGGTCGTGGATGGGCATGACAATGACCCAAAACACACGGCCAAGGCAACAAAGGAGTAGCTCAAGAAGAAGCACATTAAGGTCCTGGAGTGGCCTAGCCAGTCTCCAGACCTTAATCCCATAGAAAATCTGTAGAGGGAGCTGAAGGTTCGAGTTGCCAAACGTCAGCCTCGATACCTTAATGACTTGGAGAAGATCTGCAAAGAGAAGTGGCGCAAAATCCCTCCTGAGATGTGTGCAAACCTGTTGGCCAACTACAAGAAACGTCTGACCTCTGTGATTGCCAACAAGGGTTTTGCCACCAAGTACTAAGTCATGTTTTGCAGAGGGGTCAAATACTTATTTCCCTCATTAAAATGCAAATCAATTTATAAAAATGTTGACATGCGTTTTTCTGAATGTTTTTGTTGTTATTCTGTCTCTCACTGTTCAAATAAACCTACCATTAAAATTATAGACATTTCTTCGTCAGTGGGCAAACGTACAAAATCAGCAGGGGATAAAATATTTTTTTCCCTCACTGTAGTTAGCTGGGTAGTCACCACCCTAGGTTGTATCTGGTAAAGGGGCAGTTACCCCTTTGTGTTATGGTGTTACAAATAAATGTGTTGACTCTAAAAAGGAACGACGTCTGCGACTCAGTTGGATCCACTACACATGTATCATGAGCTTGTGAGTAAATATAAATGTCATGCATCAGCTATAACATCTCTCATGTTCGTGTGTTTGTGCTTGTTTTCCTGTAGGACACCGCCTACTTACAATCAGGTGAGAACAAGGAACCTACAAATAATTATCCACCTTCCTGCTCCCATCATTATCACCCCCTTCTCATGTGCGACACCACAAGCCTCTTGCCATCAACGCACAATCAGTAACTTCTGTCCTACAAGCCCTTTCCCTGACTCTAACACTTCTGTTATACACTAAATAGACGTATCTTTATACCCCCCCCCCCCCCCATTCCCCAACTATATTCCAATTGTGATATCGGCATCATGTCATGAGACGGACAATCCATCCAGATAGCTTGCAAAGCAGTGCAATCCGTTATGTTAGAGAACAGCTCATGGAAGTGGTCCATACAGCAGAGGACAGCACTTTTCCATCCACTCTACAACCGAGATTAGTGTTTGTTGCATAATTTTCATAGCTGGAATTTAGCCAAATTTTATTTTGAATAAGATGGCTTTTTTGCGCGGTCATTGGTGGCTGGGCCGAGGGCTATGAACTCGCCGCACTTGAGAATACATTTTAATTCCAGGCAGCTACCAGGATTCAAACCCAGGTTTGCCACAGTGGTGCCTACTCAGTGCTCTGATCTCTGGGTCAACCTGCTACCTCCATACTTAACTTTAAATCTTCACAGTATACATCCTTTATCAAATTGTATCATCAACTGCAGACCACACTATTCACTGAACATTCGACTCTCATCACTGAACTCGTACATCCACACCCTGAACCATACACCTTACTGCTATGTTGAACAGAAACCAATTCTCTTTACATATCACACTCCATCTCTTAACTCCACCATAAATGCACCACTTCCATATTGCACACACTGACACACACAGACAGATAACTTTCAGGATTTGTTTTTCAGAAAGAATCCACATTATACTTGGCATATGGAAACACATTTTTATAATAGAGCCAAGTATTTCATGAGGAAAAAGCCAGCGAGTCTCAAGACTCTTTACGAGGGTCTTGCAGTGAGATATTTGACCAATAACATGGATGCGAGTTTAGCGTTGTGGGAGGAAGCCACAGTAACACAAATGAGAACAATTTATAGGATCGATGCTCTATTTTGTTTGACAGAGGAAGGGGGTCAAATATCAGGCAAGCCTGATGAAGATGGGCCTGGATCTCTCAAACGTGACTGGTGGGTCTACCACCACCACCACACATGGTCATTAGCAGCAGTCAGGGTCAAGTCACTGCTGGATTAAGGTCCTCTCCAAGCTGTTGCCACCTCCTCACGATCCTGCGATGTAACGGGTGGCTCAGCGGTAGAGCGAGTGGCTCACAGCAATTAGAAACTTGCGGGTTCAAATCCTGGCAGGGGTGAGGGTTGATTCATACCATCGTCCCTCCCTACGACGGTGATAAAATGAGTGCCACTTGGTGGGGATGATCAACAGCAGGTGTCCTATGGGGTTTAGTTGATTTTGTTGAATTTGGTGAAAACGCCAGAAAACTCAAAATGCACGTCTCATTTGCAAGTGACCTTGGTCACCTTAGTGGAAAAAAAAAAAAGAGCTGGCTCCTGCTGCACGTGCTGCCATGGGAATGTGTAATTTTCCACCGCTGTAAGCAGAGATTAGCGCCATTGCCGTAATGTGGCTCGTGCTCATCGGCGAGTCCAGGTCCGTGGCTGGCGAGACGATCTGCCGGTGGATATGGGGCTCTCTGCCAATATACCTGGAGTCAGTGGGACCCATCCGATCTAGGTGGGTAACCACTGCACCCAGCTACATCGCTCACCCAGAAACTCAGCTACACCACACACCCAACAATTACCTTAATTGTTCACCGAGCACTCACCTACACCTCTCACCCAGTACTCAGTTACATTGCCCACCCAGTACTCAGCTTCACCGCTCACTCAGCTAAATTAATAACTTCCTGTTTACTACACCGCTTTATTTTCAAAAACCTGACGTCAGTCTTAAAATATTTCCATGGCCTTGCCCCACTTTATCTCATCTCTCACCTCATGCCGTCCCCTCTCTGTCCCTCATTCTCCGTGCCCAATTCTGTTTTCGATTATTCTCCCTCCTTGTACCCCTCCACTTGAATCAACTTCCTCTGTACATCAAGCAGTCATTAACTTTCTTTCGTTCCTCTATCAAAACTCACCTCCTCTCAATTTCCATACCCTTCATCTTACCTCCCCCCACCCTTCCGCTGTTTCCTGTGCCTCCCCTGCACTTTCATAACCCCTCTGTCGCGGTGAGGCCCCTGCCATCCAAATCACTCTTTTTGTTAACGCCTTTTAAACTATGTTAAGCGCCTGGAGTTGAAGCTCTTTATAAATATAGAATGAGAAATATACCTTCTCGGGGGCTGCTCCCTAATGTTGGAAGGCCATCGCATTCATTTTGGGAATTCATTGTCTACCATTATAAACCTCCGTTCACGCTTGAAACTCAAGTTCCTACTGAGATGTAGTTATAATAAATAATCGGCAGAGAAGCATAAACCAAAGTTTGCATGAATCATACCTAAAGTGATAACTGATTGTTTGCTTTGATAACATTACGTTATTTTCCCTTTCTATATTTTTGTTCACAAAAAATTTTAGTGGTGTTTAATACAATCTTATGAGACACGTTTTTAACAAAAACAACCTTACACAAGTACAAATTCTGT